CGACTATACCACCCTGAATGCACCTGATCTCGTCTGATCTCAGAAGCTAAGCAAGGTCAGGCCTGGTTAGTACTTGGATGGGAGAATGAGAGTATCTGACATAACACTGTACTAGTGAAGACAATAGAGAATATGTGGAAGGTTATTTAAAGACATAGCTATACATTTTTAAAAAACTGGTAAAAGGCAAAATTCTTCAGATTCAAAGAACTTGAAGAATCCTAAAAACCTTAAATCAAGATATTTACACCTAAACATAATACCAACTGCAACCAGAGGAAATGTGACAGACTGTCTAGAAAGAAACTAGTTTATAACTATTTTTCAGAACTTCAGAGGAACTGCTCTAGGAAGAACTAACATGATTCCAGAAAGATCTAAAATGCAAGACCTAAAGGTGAGCAAAATAAATGAAAAATAGGTAAGAAAACTCAATTAATACTGACTAAATAAGGCAACAACAATCATGACTCCTAAAGTGTAGGGTTAAACTATACCAAACTAAAATAAAAAATAATAGCATAGAACTTTGGAAGTAAGTAAAAATAGTGACTAACTTTAGAATTTTTTTAACTTAAACACACTTACTAGAACTTTTAGAGGACCACAAAATAATTAAAATAGCATCATTTTCAATGGGGGAGAAAATAGTTACAAAGAAGAAACACAACATTGAAAAACTCTCCATCAATCAAAAGGAAAGTGAAATAAAGCAAGATACTTATAAAGTACAACATAGGATGATAAAAATAACTCCAAATATATCACTAACCACAAAAAATGTCAAAGGACTAACATTCCACAAAAGAAAATTGTCATTCCAAGAGCCATATCCAGTACCTCTTTCAATAATAAAGTACTATTTGAACAAGCTAGTCATTTACCATATTTACAATTTACATATTGTCATGGCTGTCTTTATTCTTCAACAGCAAAGTGAGCTCTTGAATATCTCATTCTGGGTTTTCTCTTTAATTATCACAAATCTTTCTGTGTATTTGTCCAAGAAAGATCTGCAAAAGCTTTAAATATTCTGATGTCATGGAAATCACCAAAGTCAAAAGTTTACAACAATATCTCTCTTAGTTACTTTTCTTATTGCTGAGACAAAATACCTGACACCCAAAGTTAAAGGAAGAAAGGTTTACGTTGGCTCACAGTTTGTAGAGGTTTCAGTCCATAAATGGCTGGCTACAAGGTAGGATGGTATGGCAGAGAGGCAGCAAAGAGGAGAAACAGTTCATGGTAGGCAGAAGGCAGCAAAAGCAGCAAGCAACAAGCAATCACAGCAGCCCTTTTGAGTCCCTTATTTATTTTTGGTACCAGGGATCAAACTCGGGACCTTGGGGTTGCAAGGCAGGCGGCAGAACCACTGAGCTAAATCCCCAACCCAGTCCCTTATATTCTATCCAGGCTACATGCCCTTAAGGTGGGTAGTGCTCACACCCAGGGTGGGCCTTCCCATTACCCACTCCAAGAACTATGCCAAACCAATCAGTGGACTAATTTAGTAACCAAACACACCTTTGATTCCAGCATCACACACTCTATATCCAGCCACCTCCAAAAAGCCCCCACAAATGACCAATGAGGCTCTGGGGGACTTCTACACATAAACCATGACATTCTCTTTTTATTTGTAGCAAAACCTTTAGAGCTTATAATAAAATAATCTCAGCAAGTAAACTAGTTCTGCAGACCTGGCTTCAGGGTCATGTTTAGAGTTGGTGGGGTCTCGCACTGCTGAATCTGCTGCATGCAGGCATGTGCAGTTCTCACACATGGGCTGGCCCCATTAAGTCCTGACACTCACCCTTCCACACACTGCCATCACTGTTGTCATACTGTAGAGAAACTGGCGATTGTAACTGCTGTTCATGAATGATCTACACTTCAAATTATTAGACAATCAAATCTTAAGACTTAAAGGGGGAAATGTCAGGAGAGATATATTATAATCTTCAGAATACAACATAAGGCAAAATCTGCCTAGTCTGTCATTGCACTCACCAGAGCTTATTAGATAGAAATGAAAGTTAATATATACAGTTAAAGCACACTAGTTTTGAGGTAGTCCATGATTTTCAATTGCTTTGGCTTCAATATAGGATTCTTGACCTCAGAAGGAAACCCAATAAAGATCACTCAGCCAGGTGTAGTGGTGGCACACGACTGTGATTCCGGAAGTCTGGGAGGCTGAAGGAAGAGGATCACAAGTTTAAGCCCAGCCTGGACAACTCAGCAACTTACCAAGACTCTTAAGTTTTGTAAAAACATTCTTTAAAAGGGTTGGGGATGTAGCTCAGTGCAAAGGCCCTGAGTTCAATTCCAAATTCCACAAATAAGCACTTAAATGCTCTAATGCTTCTTATGGTGGTGGTGATTACAAAAGTCAGAACTCATTGTAGAAAGGATAACAAAAACACAAAATGAAACGCCCTGGCGGAACACTGTATACCACAGGTAGTATTCTTTTTTAAAGAAGTAGCAGCCATGAAACTTCAACAGATCAAACCTTTGGAGAGGTTATAAAAGTATACTGTGGAATCCCAGGCATCAGATCCAAAGGGTGCAAAGTGGTACTGGAAGAAATCTGGAGGCACAATGAAGAGGGTCGTCTCTGACACTCTGCATGAGATGTTGTAAAAGCCTCACATAAAATTACTTACAGTAAGGACCTCTGGCGGCTGCACTGAGTAGACCCTGGCATTCATTTACTAAAAGTGTGTAGTGTCATCAGTGCATGTTTCCTGTGGCTGGGATGCCCTGGTAAAACTGTAAGGCTGAACATGGGCCAAGTCAAGTCCTCTTTTTGCACTTCCAAATGGATTTCACACAAATACACTCTGCACTGGGCGACCCAGTTTTCTGGAGAAAATCTCATCACAGCTGGCTAAAGCACACACCAAAGTGAATGCTGGGATCAGGAAGGACTCACCTGGCTCCACTGGTTCCATTCCCCTGTAATCACATCACCTACCTGGACTCACTCATCTATGTTTTAGGTGGCTTACAACACAGGGATAGCCAAAAATCTAAACTCCCCTATCACATACCTAGAAAAAGAGGCTTCTGTCTCCACCAAAACTTTTCTTTAGGACCTTTTGCAGGAGCTACCTTTTATACTTCAGCTTTCATATCTCAACCCTCAGAGATACAGAGCTCGGAAGAGAATTATGAAAGAGATGGTGAATATTTGAAGGCTTTACCTACTTTAACAGGTAAAACACTATTTCTCTTCCACTGTAGAGCAACACAACCACTCTAAGTGGTCCCAAGTCATTGCCAAATATCTGATAATTCCGATAGGAGTATTGCTTTTGGGGCGGGGGAGTGACTAGATGGCTACCAATGACTGAACTTTTAATATAATTGGATTTCTAACACGAAAGACTATTGGCCACTACCTGCAAAGTGATGTTCATAACCCTGGTAAACTAACAGTTGTCCTCAGGTTAGTCCCTGATATCATAGGTGATTTGACTTACCAATTTCCCCTTACAAAAAGATTATATAACTTAATGACAGAAGAAAAATTGGGCCTTGGTTTGAGAAAATGAAAACCTAACCATTCAAAGTGAATTAACTGCTGTTGTTTCTCTTCAAACCTCTTCACTTCACAGTATAAGAAGCCTAGTGGTAGTAGGGAGAGGGCCTGAATACTTCAGTTGAGAAAAGGACAGCTACATGATGCCATCAAGCTATAAAACCCAAAAGCTTCAGGATATTGAACTAAGAGCACATTAGGGTTAACACTGGTATCTCAAGGAGCATGTGCTGTTCAGGGGGAAATATGTATTATCTGCAGAGTTCTCTGGCTATTTGCACTATTAACAGGTATTTTGACTAGTGATCTTATGCCTGGTACTAGAGACTCATCACACTAGAGATGAAGTCTGTTCTCTAGCTTTATTTGGGCATTGCTGGCTTATGGCTTGGAAGACTATAAACTCTGACCATAATCCTTCTCTTGCCATTAATTACAGGGACTCAGATGGATGACTGCAAGTTTAATGCTGCTATGCAAACATTGTCTTATCACATGACTTAAATGGAATTCAACAAAGAGGGAAAAAACTAGTATTTATGGATGCTGAAACTACCGTCTGGAAAACCTGATACACTATCATATCACAATTTGCAATGAAGATCTGATCACATACTCAGCAGTGAATTCTTTAGCTCAGGCCAAAAAATAATAGTAAGAGAGTGAAAAGGAAAAGTGCAGGAACTTAGCTTCTTACTACCAAATATCAGCAATGCAACTAAAATTCAATCATTCACCTTATTCTATCTTCACATGAACATGAATAGAAATTGTTACTGTGCTTGCCTCAGCAGCACATATAAAATTGGAGATTGCTATTAACTGCCAGCTGATAAATCTCTTATGCCAACAGCCCGTCAGGCCAAAGACTTGGGTTCTATTTAACAATGTGAACAGGACATTTCTCTTTACAGTTGTACAACACAGCATGGCTTCCAATGACTATACTCAAAGTAAGCTTTCAAAGTATGAAAAAGTCAATTGATTGTGACATCTGGATCCTTACTTTCCACCTATCTTTGTCTTTCATGAGCCGTCTATAGAGTGGAAACCTGTTTATTCAGCTCTAATTCAATAAGTGGTTTAAAATTCTCCAATTAAAAAAAAATATTGGGGCCTTAAACAGTTAATAGGATATCATCTCAGAAAAAGGACAGCTCCAAAGATAATTGAAAAATGAATCATCTTGCTTTGTGAGCTGTAGTCCCTGTTAAGTTCTTATCCAAGGGTGAGAATAAGATATCACTTTATGCAGTTTGCATATCCTAACTTTAAAAATCAGCCTGAAAACTGAAGCTACTTAACATCTTGTACTCATACAGAACAAGTCTGTATGTAATATGGTACTAAAAGTTACCAAGTAATTTGATTTCCCCAGAAGGTATCAAAGTATTTATTGACAAGGAGCTTGAAAATAATAATTTTAAAAAACACTCTTGACAAGTTTGCAAAATATCACTTCAAAAATTTATTCAAATGAAATCCACTTTCATAAACATTAGATTAAGAACCATTCCAGTCAATACAAACCGTACTTCATCCTTTCCTTCCTTCTCCCCAAAGAGAAATGACAAAAAATTCCTAATTTATACTGCTCCTATTCTCAGAAGACTCAAGTTATTGTCTAAAACAGTACATAGAACATGTATTTCATAAACATCCAAATATAAATGAAAAGAATTTTTAAAAATCAAGGCTCTTGGGCTGGTAAGCCTCATTTCACACTAAACAGCTACTCTTGAAAATCCAACACACTACTGCTAGATTCCAAGATTTCATCTCTTAATGCTTACAGAACTTAGTGTAATAAATTATAAGCAATCAAAAATAGCTCCCCAAAACTATACTCACTTAACCTTTCCTTACCCAGTATGCCTCGGTTGGCCCATGGATCAGTTTCAACCACATACATAAAATTCTCCTGATCTTAAATGCCACAGTGAAAAGTAAACCATGGTTTGGAGTCCTCGCAGATGGGACACGGGAACCGAGTTGGGTTAAGCTAAGTAAAGACCAAGTCCAGAGAGGAGACTCACATTCATACTTTAGTTTCAAATAACCAAAAAGCCTTACTCAAAATGGTTAGGTGGTATGGAAAAATCTCAAGATGTGCAGAGGTAGGGTGTACTATGCCAGGGCTTTTTTGAGATTCTCTTAGCTCTGCCTTCAGTCTGTGGGATGCTCACAAAATTCTGTCACATCCAGAAAATGCCAAATTCCAGAAGACAACTGCCTTTTTTGAGCTTCATTTTTAAGAAGTCACCAAAGAAGCTGGATATATTACAGTAAACACCTGTAATCCAGCAGTCTGGGAGGCTGAGGCAGGATCACAAGTACAAGCCCATCTTGGGCAACTTAGCAAGACCCTGTGTCAAAAACAGAAAAGTGGGTGGGTGGGGGGCTGAGGATATAGCTCAGTGCAAAGGCGCTGGGTTCAATTCCCAGTACTGCAAAAGGTGCCCAACACCTCACTAGCTCAGTTTGAAGAAGTCTGTTGACCATGTCAGTCACTGGACTAGATTAACCCTATTCAGCAAAGGTAATGATGTCTGCGTCCCCTGAAGCACATGGATGCAGGGAGACAGAGGATGACTTAAAAAAATTTGGCTTCTGCTGTGAAGGTTGGGACATTAATACTGTGCCACAATGGTGCTGACCATAAGTGTGGGGCAAGACAGACTTTTCTTTTCCTGCTCCACTTCATTAGACTGAGTTACAGTCTAGTGACTTATTTCTTTGATGACAATCAATGCCCCAAGTTTCTTCCAGGGCACTACTCTTAGTTTCAGACTAATGGGTTTTAGAGACAGAATCAAATTTAAGAGACAAACTACAAATGCAATGATTATTTTGTTAAAAGTAATGAAACCTCAGAAATCACTTTACACACAAACAAGACCCAAAGATGGTAATTTGCTAGCTCAAATAATCAGAATAATAAATGCCAAAGAACTATCACAAAACATAACATGATTTAGCTGCCAGAGAATGGTTAAACACATAGTCATGGGGCGGCAGGTCAGAAAGGTCTTAACAAATTTAAGCTAAGCCTTAAACCAACAGACAGGACATACTCATAAACACCTCATTTATTAAAGGTGTTAGGAATATTAATTGAGGCAGAGGGTAAGGCATTCAGTCAACAGCATTTAAATTTTCTAATCAAGAAATATACAGTTCATTCTGGAGAAGTAGGGAGACATCTGAAGTTCAGACAAAACTTAAGAACTGCCACGCAGCAGAAAAGTGAATCTTGCAAGTACCTGAACTGTTATTCTCCAATGAATCCCGCCACTAGCAACATTTCGAGTTGACTTCATTAATGGCCAAAATACTGTTATCACCATTTAAATGAATTTTTAAAATATTTTAAAATATTGCTCAAGTACATAATTTGACCGTACATACTACCAAACTTTCAACTTCAATTTCTGTTGCTCTTCTACAATTAAATTTCAAATAAATACAAAAGTTGCTAGAAATGTAATATCAATGTACCTAGTTCTGCAAGGATGTTCAATTTAAAATGTTACCTTTAAAATTATATAATCATTAAGATTACTCTTAAATTTCAACCTCAATGAAGAGCAAAATAAAACAAAGTAGGGAGATTGAAAGAGGATCAAAAGACAGAGTAGGGAGGAAAGGGGATGAAAAAGAATTGAGATGTGTTATACACATGTACCAGCTCCCCCACAAGGAATGTATTATGTACTACAAACGTACTAATAAAAAATAAAGACTGAAAAAAATTTCAATCCCAATCATTTAATAAAAACCCAAATCAGAAGTAACTTATTGGAAGAATTCTACCTTATAAAGTGTGGGAATTGAGCCCAATGTCCTATATGGCCCTAAAATGAGTTAAAAGGCTCATTCAAAAATGATTATCGCATATTTAAGTCCAGGGATACACATTTTACCCACTGAGTTGAAGGACTCAAGTTGAGAAAACAGTTGCTCTTAAATAAAACACAATTTACTGGGATGGGGATTTAGCTCAGTGGTGCCGCCACATGCCTTGCAAGTGCAAGGTCCCAAGATCAATCCCCAGTATCAAAAACAAAACAAAACAAAACAAAAACACCATCTAGTGGTAACCAACATTACAAGACTACCAATCTGAATAATTATGGTATTTCTGAACAGCATTTGTTGCTATAGTCTGACAGACGTGAGATTTTAAAGACTAAAATAGACATTATTGAGTTTTCAATACTCAGAAGAAAAAAGACAATATTATTTGGAATCAGAACTGGATTCAAATTCTATCTTTTTCTACAGTTCTGAGCAGAAAGATGCTTACCTATCTGACAAGGCAGCTGTTGGGACTAAATGAATTAATACAGGAAAACAACTTAGCACAGCTAAGAACCAACAGGTTCTCTGAGTGGTAGTTAGCTATTTGACATACGTAGGAATCTTCATTAGGACTTTCAGTCTTGCTGGTAATCATTAAGCAATATATGGCAGAACAGTGCCTTTTCCATTAGAGACCAGAGTTTACAGTACTTCAGTGGTGGAGCTGAATGATTACGGAGGGCGGGTAGATCAGAATTCTCTAAGATGTTACTGGCAGTGCATGTTATCCATTCCCAAACCATTAGTAAACAATCCCATGTAGTTTCTTTAAGCCTCTGGTATCACACAGAAAATTAATTATTCAGGTGTCTACAGTGACAATTTTCAAGAACTGTGAGATCATGTTTATGGAAATATCAAGATACTACTTGTTCAGCCTACTTTTAATTTTCTGTAACACAGTATTTTCTGAGCAAAAATTTGACAATATCAAACATTCTAGAACATTAGAAAAAAATGCTTGAATGAGCATTTCTTCAATCATCTCAACAAAAAATTTAAAAATTCTACCCTTTTATTTACATACATAAAGAACATAGGAACATACAACTACTCATCTGAAACATTGTTAAATATGAAGCATTTAAGTATAGGCTTTCAAATATTCAACTAGAAATCACACTGGTCTTCAGTGCTAGTGAAGTACTTCCAAAAGTTTATTTTGTGCTTGAAGTAGTTTTCTAAGGCATCACAAATTTCACATTCAAACTCCAATGGTAGAATGTTTAAGAGACTAAAGGAGAAGCCTTTAAAGAAACACTGCTGTACATTACAATAATGCAAATCTAATGGATTCACACAAAGAGAACCTAACAAAGGGGGAAGACATTACAGAAATCATCTATTATACAGTGGCTAGATAATTCCTTCGAGTGTTCATAGTTCTCTTTCTTGTGGCTATATAGTCCTCTATCACACCTGCCCTTTGCTGTCATGGTCCATGTTACTGATTTCCACCTTGGAAATACTATCCATTAACGATCAAGAACAATAAAATATGAACTTTGTCTTTTAAAAAACATTAACAATGCTATGATTTTAAAACATGACGCACCCACTAACTGTAAATTCAATTAAGAACTTTTTGCATACGATGACAAAGATACACTGAAAACATACAGATTTTTTTCCTGAGCAGAATTCAAACGTTATTTATCAAATTAAGCTTTGAATTTCCAAATTACAAAATACCAAAGCTTTTCCATACTAAATAAAAATCTGGAATGTCCTCTCCACATAACACACACACACACACACACACACACACACACACACACACACACACACACACACAGAAAAACTCAAGACAAGGTTCAACAACCATAATGTAGTATCTGGACTGACTGGCCAAAATTTTCAATTTTCAGTAGCTCAATTTGATAAATCTCAGTAAACTTCCATTTTAAACAAAAACTACCATTTACCAACAGTGAATAAAATAGTGATACTGTTCATAGTGTCCAACTTGAAAAATGTAACCTAAGGCAAAAAAAAAGAAACCATACAACTGAGAAAAGGAATAAAACAGGCATAAACCTTTATAGGAATCAAGAGAACACCAAGGACTTATAAAAACCCAAATCAGTAGCATATCCTGTACACGAAGTTAAAAAAGAAAACTGCCCAATTAAAGCAAGACAGTTTTCACTCGCTGCATAATCTAAAAAGTGAGAAATTTTGGACTATATCTCTAAAAGACCAAAGTTATCACCGATATACACATTTTTTGAGACAAGGGGCAAAGTTCCCATTTATGGGAAATATGTTTTTTCACACAGTGAAACGGAGAAAAAATACATCAAATGAGAAAATTTTTTCTCTAAGTAATCTTCTTAAATACCCCCATTAATGTAAATCTTAGGAAATACAATTTCTCAACTCAGACTTGAAAGAGGTTATTACTAAACATACACAAATCTTATTGCTTGGCACCAGATTTTCTAAAATTAAACAATTGTTTAAACCTCAAGTTCTTAAATTATATTTCGAATTTTTATACTTGGTTATATTTTCTGTATGAGAACGTTCAATCCAATGACAATTAGACTGAACTCTGCAATATACAAATCATAGTTCACTTTAAAACGAAACAAATGGTCAATTTTCTGCTTTGTCAGAATCAGTATTAAGATACTTATAAAAATTAACTAGGATTTATCTGTGGTCAATGATGGACCCACAGGGCGTTGTCTTATGGCACTCTGTGGGAACTCTGAGTTTGCTCCTTTACTTTCTGCTTCCTCTTCTGAAACATCTTCTTCATCAGCCTCTTGTTCCTCCACCAGTTTTTTCAAAGGTTGAGAAAATTCTGGTAATGGCTTTTCTTAAAGACAAAGACCAGATAATGTGGTTTTGTTGATGTATTATATCTGCTTTAGAGTAAAATCAAGGCATCATGAAAACAGTAAAGATCATAAAAACTGGGTTTGAAAGGCATATTTTACTTAACAAATCGATTCTAAATATCCACTTATTTATATGCTAAATTAAAATTAATGAATCAGCTTTAAAGCTATAAATGTAGACATTGTAAGAAAAAATGATAGAACCATCATATTAATTTGCTAGTAATCATCTAGTCTATAATTATACTAGAACTTCAACAGTATCCTGTTTCAGTTCCCAGGGAAGCAAGAAACACAAATTTATACTTAAAGGTTACATTCTTGTCCTTATTTTTTCTAGTCTTATAAATGTGCTTCCCTTTCCTCATCTATAAGTTTTATTGAGGCCTAATTACAAATAACAAAATGTATAAATATTAATTGTGCAGGTCACCCTTTCTACTTTCTGCAGGGCCAGTTGCTAGTTAAGCTCAGAGCACAGCACCTTAGAGAGACACAGGATTTGGAACTGGGATAAAGAGCATTACTGCACACATACATTAGACCACCCCCAATCCTAGGAACCCAGGACAGTAGTGGTATTGCTGGTGGGGGATGTTAAGTAAAATAAGTCATAAGAAACCCCCAGTCACGGACAACCTGTTGTTTTGTCTGCCTGCCATCCCTCCTACTGCTGGTTTAATAGGCTCTGTCCTTTATCATATTCCATGTGGTTCTAGTGAGCACTACAGATTATAACAATGGTTTTACCCCAAGAGTAGTACTGTCCTTCAGACTGCAATGACTGGAGATAATTTCGGTTGTCCCACCTAGGGGACAGTGTTACTGCCAACTACTTTTATTCACAATTTAAAAGTTGGTGAATGGGGCCGGGGATTTAGCTCAGTGGTTGTGCTGCCTGCTGCACAAACACAGGGATCCGAGTTCGATCCCTGGTACCAAAAAAAAAAAAAAAAAAACACACACACACACACAAAAAAGTTGGTGAATGAACATTTTATATTCATTTCACTTCAAAATATTAACCCTAATAATAAATTTGTCTTTTAACTAATCTGTACCTACACTTTTCCCCTACATGTCAGTGGTCCTTGCTGGATAAAGCAATTCCTTCCTCTATATATACCCCTCTTAACATCAACACATCTAAGAATAAAAAAGGTGACCTATCAGGTATTTGAAGGACAAAGTATATTGTCAATGAAAGATCCACCAATTTCATTTCAGGAGCTTTGACCTGGATAAATCCTAAATCAAAATAGGGAGTATCATGGAGTGAATACTAGGTCATGAGTCTAGTTTAGGTCTATGTTCTGCTCTGTCATGTTTATGTGACCTTGGGGGTATCCTTCATCTTCTTCAACCTTCATTTCTTCAACTACAAAAGGAATCAGTATTACCTATGCAATCAACCACAAAGTTGCTGAAAAGCAAGGGATTATATTAAATGAAAGTTTTATACAAACTACCTACAAGAGGGCCTCTATAACAGTACAGTTTTCCAAGATTAAAAATAAAAGATTGGATAACCAATTATATTACAACAAGCACCAATAAATGCTTCTAATTATATAAACCCATTTTGCAGTACAGTTGTGTCAATATCAAGCCTAAGTCAACTAAGGAATAGTTTTCCCGGTATCCTTTCAGAAAAAGTGAAAACTAGCTAGATATAAAGAAGAAACTTCCAATGTGATCACTATACTAATGAATGACTTCAAAAGCAGGATATATTCAAGTGTTAAAATTTTATCTCAGGTATATATTCAAATGGATCCATGAACAACATAAAATTTTGAAATTAATACCAGATCAATGTTATTAAATATCTACAAGCTGTATGTAATGCTGAAATTCTTTTTACTGTAAGAGTCAAGAAATAATAGTGTTCCAGGGCCAGGGATTTAGCTCAGTGGTTTCGCCGCCTGTCTCACAAGCGCAAGGTCCCGAGTTCGATCCCCGGTACCAAAAACAACGACAAAAGAAATAATAGTGTTCCAAAATCTACTGGGCTACCAGGAAATATATATTTCCCACATGAAATGCATATCTTCCCCTCTTCCTTCCTTTATGGGAGAGCTAAAGGAGCTCACTCCACACTTAGGAACCTGAACAGAAAGCCAACCTGTTAAAGAATGTGACTGTTTACAGAAATGAATGGGATTATAGTGAATAAAAAAATAAAAAGGGCTGAAGATGTAGCTTAGTGGTAGTGCTTGCTTAGCATGCACAAGGATCTAGGCTGGATCCCTAGCATAGCCATAAAACAAAGAACCTTAAATATACTTACTTGAAGGATATGACTGTGGTTTGCGCCTTTTTGAAGGACAAAGACAATCTGCCACAAATATCATACACTGCAAAGATAAACAGAAATCTGAATGTATAACATAATACAACTAATGCTGCTGTATTATTATATTTTAAAATATTCTGCCAGGCATGGTGACACATGCCTCTAATCCCACTATTCAGGAGGCTGGAGCAGGAGGATTGCAGTAAATTCAAGGGTAGCCTGGGCTACATAGGGAGTTTAAGGACAACATAAAATACATAGTGAGACCCAGTCTCAAGAAACTTAATAATAATAATAGTATTTTTCTTCCTAGTTCTTCAAAGTACTTACAAGTCCTAACAACAGTCCTGAAAGCAAAGTTGCTAAAGCAAAAATTGTGTATGATCCCCAAACTGGTAGTCCAAGGTCTTCAATAAAATAGTCATAGCAAATCTGAAATCAAAAGAAAAAAAAACTAAAACTGTGTTCATTTAAAAAGTGATAACATTAAAAATATGTGCGAAAAGAAATACTTTAATCCATACCCTGATGTACATAGAAAGCCGAAAGAGTGCTGACATACTACTCATCCTAAAAAAAGAGAGAAATGGTTGAAAAACTGAGCAAGAGTCTTTATCTATAGATTCTATTTTCTACTCTACAATTTCCTCAACATGACTGTCTTATTACTGGTATTATCAAGATTAGTGATACATCACTGACTTCATGCCTATAATAAGACTTGCTCATAAGAAGTAACAGTTTCTGAATTGCTACCATGTGACCTTCTCAATACCTGAAATTTCTTTTTCTTTCCTCCCAGTGTCAACATTTATGTTTATCTTTCATCTAATTTCCACAACATACCAAGTAAAAGGTTACAAGTTCTATGAAACCAGTTGAAAATGGCAATTCTTGTCATGGTGGCACACCTCGGCTGCATTGTGAGTTCAAGGTCAACCTGAACTGCATAGTGAGACCCTATCTCAAACAAACAAACAAAAAAAGAAACTGACAATTCTTATTCACCATTATAATCTTCCAAAAAAATGAGCACAGAAAGGATCCTGAAGGAACAACTGGTAGGACTTATTAATCTGATTCTTCCCAGTTAATAATTATCTCTGTTCAGTCTACAGATGTAGCTCAGGGGTAGAGCAGTTGCCCAGCATGTGCCAAGTACTGCATTCAATCCCCAGAACTCCTCTGCAAAAAAAATTATCTTTCTATTTGCTAAAATTAAAATTTATAATAGGATTGGTTTGATAACTTTTAATGACATGTAAGTAACTACATAGAAAATTAATGCTAAGTCATCATAAGTAAATAATTACTGCTTTAACATAATGAAATTCAGGTTATTTAGACGGACAGTTTAAAAAAGGCTGCTTCAAAAATAAGAAGGGCTGGTGGGTTTCCAACCATGTTTCCCTCTAGCAAGAAATAATCTAGTATCCCAAAGGACTTTTTCACACAAAAGCCAAAAGATGGCTGGGTCTAACTGTCAACTGCTGGGGTGGTGAACCTGCTCAGCTCATACTGGGAGTTGCCCCTGTTCAGTAGCAATAGGAAAGAAATGTGGCCTGGGCTGGGAAGCATGATGGAGCACTTGCCTAGCATGTGCAAGGCCCTGGAGTAAAAAAAACAAAACAAAACTATAACCTGCTGCCTTGAGGAGTCAACAGAAATTTACAAGCAATCATTTTCTTCTACTAGAGAAGGGTTATGAGATTTTAAAAATGATCATTTTTTTTTTTTTTTTTTGAGACAAGGGTCTCACCAGGTAGCCCAGGATGGCCTTGTGATCCTCTTGCCTCAGCCTCCCAAGTGCTGGATTACAGGCATGTACCACTATGCCTGGCTCATCATTTACATTTTTAAGTTTAATATAGAAAAATACTTTAATTGTGTTGCTTGTCTAAAAGGCTAAGTTGGTGGGCTGGGGATTTAGCTCAGGGGTCCTGCCATCTGCCTCACAAGCTCAAGGACCTGAGTTCAATCCCTGGTACCAAAAAAAAAAACAGTGTAAAAGGGTAAGTTGGAACAGCAGCAGGAACTAAAACATAAAGCACTGCGTAGCCTCACTGTAGTCTGCACTAATTAAACTTCACTGGGAACAGTAGGTTCTGTTAAACTGTGGTGGTTCAGTGGGATGAGTTTTGGCTGCTAAAGGATAATTCAGAGGTTGTACAAGAGGCACAAAGGGAAGACATACAGAACTTACACTGCAAAATACTCTTAGGGCTGATCTTTCAACTGTTTTCAGAATCCAAAGCATTTGTCTTTTATATGGTTGGTGTCCTGGTTCCTCATCCTCCAAGGGCAAGTATGCTAAGGGGCCAGGAGACCATAACCTCTGCAAAACTCACTATGCCCAACGTCTTCTCTATGACAAGTGAGGCTTATACCCCTTCTGTGTAGCAGGAAACATGCCTACCATCCCTAATCCCAACCACTGAGGGGACTGTATGTACCTTCTAGCTTGCTATACACTCAGTGGTTAATCATGCCATTGGAGTCATTGTTCACATTCACTATTCATATAAGTTATCGGACTTATCAGGTATAATAACCCACCAAACACAATTCAGTCACCTCACATTAAGAACTGAAGCCTAAGGCAGTACAAGGAGTTTGAGCCTTCGCATTCAGATTATTACACTCAAACAAGAGCATTACCCATTACACTGCTAACCATCTTCCGGAAATTATGTAGTTTGTAATGACATATATGACCAAATCCACAAAGTCAAAGTATCCTTAAAAGGCATTAAATTTATTTCTACAGAATGCTCCCTCCTAGTTTCAGGCAAAAAGATGTTTGATTTAGTTCAACTAAAAATATCAAGCTTTATTTAAGAAGTTAGGAAACTCAGTACTTGTACTTCATATGAAATATAATTATATGTTCCAATTAATTCTGAGTAAGATAGAAACCCCTCATACTTACAGAATAGAACTTGGACCAAACCATGATGAAACAGGTTCAATACTCTTCCACTCTTTTTCACTTACAAAGTTTATGAAGTCATTCTTAGTCCTTGGACCCTGATAGCGCCTAATTTCACCATCTTTACAACTAAAGAAGATCAAAGAAAGTATTAACTACCACTGAAAAATATATTTTCTATTTGTTTTACTACTTCTTCACCTCATTTTACAACCAATTGTAATATTCAAACACACTAACAAGGGCTGGGGATTTAGCTCAGTGGTTCTGGCGCCTGCCTCGAAAGCGCAAGGTCCCAAGTTCGATCCCCAGTACCAAAAAAAAAAAAAAAATACACTAACAAAGCACAAAAAGCTTATACTAAATTATGTACTGATGAGATCTTAGCCCCAAATGTTAATAATCATAAGCCTTAAGCCTTTTTTAGTTTCAAATAAATCTATGAAACATATAGCAAACCTCAGAAAATTCTTTTTAAGCCTTATTTGTAATACACATATTAAAGAAATTACTAGAATAGTGGCTGACATATAACCACCAACTATTTTTAAACTCTAAGTTAAAAACTTAAAGTATTTTTCTGTTACTTTCAGTCATAATCATATCACCTCAGCCATCCTGTTTTAAATTGCTCGAGGCATCTGGTAGAGTGCTACCTCTCCAGGGATTTCAGCAACTCTATCACGGTCAACTTTATCCATTGCCTCCCTGCTACTCTCAATGTATGGAGTTCTGTCCCACAGCAACAAACACTCTTCCAGCTCCCTACTACCTACAGCAGAGTTGAGGCGATCCCTTACCCATCCAGAGAAAAAGACCACAAAGAACCCCCTGCCCCGAAACTCAAAGTTTGGTAGAACAGGTGGCACCTGAGCTGTTCTTTGAAAGATGGTTATGATTTCAACAGGCAGAAAGTAGGAGAAAGAGCAAGGTAAACATTACGACTACAAGAGAAAGGGAAGTAAATTCCACATAATGGTAGGGGTGGTGAAAGGTAAAAAAGAAAAGGAGAGACTGATTATAGGCAGGGGGGCAGGGTCACTGACTGAAAAAGGAGATAAACATGTAGAGAAAGGGAATAGAAATTTAGATACAAAAAAAAGCGGTGAATTTTAAAAGTGGGTGAATAGAAAATGGAAAAAGAGAACCAAAACACAAACATACAAAAGAAACTGCTAACCTGTTTTGTTAACCGTAAATGAGCAGAAGTACCTTTGATATTCTGCCCACTGTGCAGGGAAGGTAGACAGATTTGAGATCTCCAACCTCCAGTTTAGAAGATAAAGTCAGACTAAAAGAACTGACCCTGCAGATTACACAATCTTGTTCATTCTAACCTGACACAACTGTATCACCCACTCTCTTCCCAAGGCTGTGCGACTGCACTTGGCTGCTTTTCGAACACAATCCGTTCCTACTGTTTGTGAGCCTGTCCTCAGAATGGACCTGAAAATTTTACAGCTAGGGTTTCGTTTTCTCAGAACTGCTCCAGCTCAGTGACTTCTCCCGTTCACCCAACCTCCCACGGGACTCACCACCACTCTGAGCTCCTGTTTACCACTGTGAACAGGATCACACCATTTCACATGAGCAACATCTCCCGAGACAACTGCAAACCTCTGAGAACAGGGACAGCTTCGTGTATCATTTGTCTCTCTAAAGAACCTACAGTACCACTCAGAGCAACACAAATGCTCTAAAATTCCTTCTGAATTCTGAGATCCTCTCAGCTCTTCAAACAGTACAAGCCGGGGCCCACGGCTCTGATTTACACTACATGCATCCTTCACCATATCTGAGAATCTTCAAATACTTACTGATAAATTGTAGGAAGGGCAGTTATGATAAATCGTCCACTCAGTCCTACAAGTGACAAAGAACATACAGCAGGTTTCACATGGACCAATCATGACTACTTACGAGATGATTTTGAATTTAAATACTAAGAATGTGAAATTATACTAAAACAGCTGAGCTTTGTAATAAAGACTGAAAATATGAATTATGTACTTAAAGCAACTTTGAAAAAACACATAACTAATTACCTCAATTAAAAAATTTGAAAAGCTTTTATACTAGACATTTTTGACTATATATAAGCACTTGATTAATGATATCACTGTGTGATTAAGAATAAGGTCTTAGGTCTTGAACCCCAATGAAATTGCACTTGACATTCAAGAAACAAAGGCAGTTTATGTTGTTACTAAAAAGAGGAACCACTACAAATCTTTCTTGAAGCAAGCAGCACCAGTAAGGGCCACCAGCTAGTGTATTACAATCACGTGTCAAGCACTGATGACAGACGATTAACATCTCTGTGCCTCAGGTTTTCTTACCGGTAAAGTGGGGACATCATATATTTTACAGGGCTGTTCAAGGATTAAACAATGAATAATAACCTTGGAAAGAGCTGGAAGAGCTAAGTGCTCCATAAATTTGCCTAGGTGGGACAGGGAAGGCAGGCTACCAAAAACACGAAGATGGAGGCTGGTCTGTGCAAGGAGCATCCCCAAGGGCAAGGCCCATCACTGGTGCCAGGAGGGCTCTGCAGTGAAGAGCCCACATCATCACATCACAGGTACTGAAGCTGGAACTCAATTTCAGAGATTCAAATCTTGTCAGCAAATGTGAGTTTGACCTTAAAAAAAAACAGTGAACCCCATGTTCCTTATTCTGAAGCATGTTGTGGATGCAAACAATCCCTGGGCCAATCTCCTCTTGAACCCCAATGTTCTAGGACTTCTCAAAATCACCTTACATGCTAGTCTGGAGCCTGGGACACAAACCAAAAAAGGTAAGAGGAAGCTCATGGGCAAGAAGGGGAAAGGGTGATGTTTCCAGGGCTCCTTTAGAGCAACACACACAAGGGACCAGCTGCAGTCACAACCAGGCATCAGCTTCTCGAAGCCACTGCACACAGAGCTCAGCACAGGGAGGGGGCGTCAAGTGGGCCTGACTAGCCCCAGACTGGCTTAGCTATCTGTAGACCGCTGTTTCCAAACTCTAAAAAAAGGAATAGACCACGTAATGGGCAAAAGAGAATAAACACCAACTCAACTGGCAAAGAAAACAGAATCAACCAGACTTACAGTACCTGTCTGCTCTGTGACATCTACTTTTGCAACATTAACCTCAAGATCTTCTCCCCATTCAGCAAAACCTTCCCACTCTGGTTGGAGATTTTGACAAGCAGGACACCACGGAGCATAACTAAGAAATACAGTTTAAGAAAAAAGTTAAGCACTCTAATGACCATTTATCCAGAGATAAAACATAAAATTATGGAAGTTATTTTAGACATATAATTCATGAGGAATATCTTATCTAAAAACATTACAAATGTAACTTAGTAGTTACATTTGTTAGTAGTTAACTGTACGCAGACGAATAAAGTTGTGAGTGTGGTCTCATAATCTGGAAATCCAAAGATATGAAATGATGTAACCCTCCAAAAGGCAATTATGAGAATAAATTTTTAAAGACACAAGGGCTTTTTCACAGGCAAAACAGCTCTTTCAAAACCTTTAGATTTTTCTATTTAAATGTGGCCACTAGAAAGTTCAAGGCTATTTTGGAGTTCACCAATTTTAATAATTTTATACTATATCACAAACTTAAAATGTTGGAAAAATAGAAGTGTCCTGGCCCTGGTGAAAAAGGAAACACAAGACCCAATTTAAAGCCACAACACTATTCAGCAGGATCACAAGGGAAGCCTTGCCCAGGAAGGCCAGCCATTCCTAATTTTTTTAAAAAGCTAAAGACTTGCATTTTTATATAAAAAGACTACTTCAAAACCTAATCCCTACACCAATACTAAGCAGGCTAACCAAAACTCTTTTGGCCAGCCCTAGGTCATTCTTTTTTCAAGACTCTAGGTTTATAAACTCTTGGCCAAGCATATTAGCATTTTAATTACTCTTCTGGAATTCATTGTCTTCCAGGTCCTAATTTTTCCCTAAAATTTTACTTTCTCACTTTATTGCAGATTATCTTACAACTCGCCTCAGATTCTAGAACCAGGAAGAATGACACCTTTACTTCTTAAAACAAACATACTTTCAGTACTTCACATTTTCTTAACTTGTTTTAAGAAAATCAAACTCTTAAAATAAGCATTGTAGACAAGACAAACGAGTTATATAAAAGCCAAGCTCCTTAACAATAAGTTGTATTACAATGAAAATACCTCTATAACTTCTGATCAGAAGTAAATTTACTTAAATCACTTGGAATTACCAGCAGATTAGAATTACTAACTAGATGCTTTTTCAAGTTTGTTGCTTTTGGTCTTTTTATAGACTTCAACTTTAGAACTTCAGTCAAAGAAAAGGAAAACATTCTTAAACTATAATTTCAGATAGATGCTCTAATTTGAGTTTAGCTCAAATTCAATGTTTTGTTAATTTTGTTTCCCTTAGTATTTCTTCTGAGTGCTTTATTTAGTTTAACCAATCGAGTTAAAAAATATCCTGCATTAATATTTGTATTTTGCATGTAAATTCGTAGTTACTATTGCTTAACATATTGCTGTAGCACTAAATACTGTATTTTATGAGCACAATCCACTGTTACTCAGCACAATGACTCAAAACACAAATGCTGCCACTACTTAAATATCCTCTCCTTGGGCCGGGGATTTAGCTCTGTGGTTTCACTGCCCGCTGCGCAAGCACATAGGACCAGAGTTCAATCCCCGGTACCAAAATAATAACAATAATAATAACCACCACCACCACCACCACCACCACCACCACCACCACCTCTCCTTGCAGCTTCAACAGTAACTGAAAAGTAATGTCACCGAGTTGCACATTACATGCATATTAAGCATCTCCTTCCACATTATTCTCCATGTAAATGTTCCGTTTTTGTTCTTTTTTATGACTTAAGAGGTGTGCTGATTTGGTCTCCCTTGGGGAGTGTCCACTTCCACTTGCTTCCTAACAGACAACCCTAACCCTAACTGCACATGACACAGGAACGCACTCTTCCAAATCCTGTTCAAGAAGGGGGTGTTCTTATAATTACTTCATGTTTACTCTGGAGGCCCCAAGAAAATGCGTAGAGCACTATCTAGACAGAGCACTATCTAGATAAATTAAGGTATTTAGGCATGTTTTTCATTTGTAACTACCACAGGGAATTAAACATGAAAATGTATGTAAAGCCGCTAAGCAGTGTTTAGTTAATATTTAATAATGGTGCTTTTATCAATATAGGTAATAAACGTATGAGTCACATTACCAGCACCCCCAGCACCAATTTACCTTCTAAAACAAAGGCAGACAGTTTATTTACGCAGCAGGATATTACTAAAGATATAAAATATATACAGTACTATACAAGACGTGCAATTTTGTTTAAACTATTGTGACCTGGAGCTCCTAGAAAAAGAGGATTTAAAGATGACTCGATTTCAATTTACTGAGCATTGACAACAAAAAAACAATGTACAGTACCTATCCCAAAATAAGGAGGCCCCAATTCCAGCACTAAAAATGGGTATTATATTTATATTTATGGGCACACAAAAGATATAGAGGTTTTTGCTCAATATCCTTTTCCCTAAAGCTTGACAAAAGTAAGTACAGAAGTCTAGGAAGGGCGAACCGCATGGGAACAAGCCAGACCCTCAGCCCCGCCCCAATCTCATCCTCAAAGCCAGGCAGCAAAGTTACGAGAAAATCCGCTGCGGGCACGGATCCTCGGGCGCCCACAGCCCTGGAACCCAAGTCGGGGGCAAGCTTTAAAAACCCAGTATTCGCGGGCAAAGACGAGGAGTGGACCCAGTCGCGGCACAGCCCTGCAGGAGTGGGCGCGAGAAGGAAGGGGCACCGTCCGGGGCAGCGGGGCCTGCAGAGGAGAGGAGGGCGAAGGCGAGGACTCAAGGCCGCCCCGCACTCACAATTCTACCATCCACTCTCCTTCCAGCAGCTCTCTCCAGTTCTCGTCCGTGAGGACGCGCACATCGCTCCGCCGTCCGTGGGCCCAAGGAGTCTCCCAAAGAAGCAGCCCCAGGACCACGAGAGGAACCAAGAGACTCCTGGAGGGCGCCATGTCGGCCGCTCCCTCACCTCTCAGGCGCGAGGGCCCCACCTCCCGCAGCAGCGTCCACTTCCGCCCTGCGGGCCCCTCCGCTCATGCGCACGACCGCGCGACCGGGCGCGCAAGCCTACGGCGAGCTCAGTGCGCGTGACGAGACCCGGGTACGAGTGGATGGCGGCGCAGGCAAAGCAGCGCCACGAGCCGCAGTGCGCATGACAGAAAAGCGGCCTCCTCCGGGTCCCGATTGTAGCCCCGGAAGCGCGGAAGGGGCGTGGCGCGGGGTGGGGCGTGGCTTTGGAGGGAACCACTAAAGCTGCTAGGGCCAGGATTTTGGCGCCAAGTGGGTGGCGTTTATATTTAGGACCTTCGCTAAATTTACATTAAAGCAGTTTCTAATTGTTTCGGTGAGAAGTTGGGTCATAAAGCTAATGAATGTTGACAGGAGTCAGAATATTGGTTTGTTTCTGCGGAGAAGGCGCAGAAGGAACTTTGAGGTATCCTTTTTCCTGTATCTTCGTAGGAAAGTGCACACATATGTAAAAAAAAATCGAGGTGTACATTTTTATTAGTATTTTGTGCAGTTTAGGATGTATGCTGGCCCTCAAAAGAATGTAGTTGGTGCAGAGATCCTAGAATAGAACTTTATAATGAAAGAAAATCATAGGCTTTTTTTTTCTTGGTACCGGGGATCAAACTCGGGACCTTGCGCTTGCCAGGCAGGCAGTGGAACCACTGAGCTAAATCCCCGGCCCCCATAGGCTTTTGATTAATATTCGAGATTGTTTTTCCTCAAACATTTGTAAATACAAATGCAAACCAAAATCTGCATAGCTCCCCTCAGTCCAATGATAGTTATCATTACGCTTGGCACCCAACCCCTCCAATGGCACTCCACCCCGCCTGGGCGTAGCCATCCCAAGGACACCAGTCATCTTCATGATAACAAAGCCAACTGTGCCTCCTCTGTGTTCATCTAGCCTGACTCCCAGCAGCACATCACTGTCAACCCACACTCCTTGTCAACCCTATGGGGTAGGTAGCTGCTCTTCCTCAAACAGTCCTCAACTTTCAGACATTGTTGCACCTTGAGACACTGTACTTATCAACACATTCCTCCAAGTAATCTAATCATGGTTTTAGGAGCCTTCAATATCCCTTCATTCTGATATGAAAATAGTTTATGTAGTTAGCTTATGAGTAAGGCAGCTAGCCAGGGTAAGAGCCTGAGATAGAATTGGATGATCAGCCACACTAATAAGAATCAAAATAAGAAAAGACAGTGAACTAGGACTTGGGCCAAGAATGAACTTCCTTAGGCCACATGGAAATTCAGGCCCTCCCTACCAAACTCCTTAGTTTTGTGGAATTTAAAATGCAAAACAACCAGTTTTTCTGTAAAATCCCAGCTTCCTGTAAACCCTACAAGTTGAGTAACTGGGTTAGAGAGCCTGAGTTTAATCGGTCATTTTAAATCTATAGGACCACCTGTGATAGGGGGGTCCAGTTCCGTACCTAGTGTATCCATAGGAAGTTCCAGACTGAGGAGCCATACAGAAATTCCACTCTCTGGGTTTGCCTCCTGGAGAAACCGGGAGGCTTATTTTCTTCTTATTTCCAATTTTTTAAAAAAATTAAAAAATATCTCAACTCCCTCCTTTGGTTCCTTATTTCCAATTAAAAAAATGTCTCAACTTCCTCCTTTGGTTCATGACTTCATTCTTCAATTTTTGTGAGACCAAGAACTCGGCTTCTCCAGGATTAACCGTTGCACTGAGGTAGAAGATCCAAGAATTGCCACAACCTGGGAAAGAAACACCAAAGACTTACTGTCATCAGAAGGAACAGCTCTTTAAAAACATGAACATATAATATTATAAAGATAATGCATACTAAACTAGTGGTGAAGACATCTGAAAAATCAGTACTTCCCTTAGACATTTTCACTGCACTGTTTGTTTGAAGGACTTTTTCCAGCAGGAACTTGTGAGAAGAAACTTCTTTGCAGACTTAGAAAGGAAGAAAGAAAGAAAAAAAGGAAGGAAGGAAGGAAGAAAGAAAGAATTTAAAAAAGGAAAAGGAAGAAAAGAAAGAGAAGAGAAAGAATTGGTAGACAGGAGACAAGGAAAATCATAATTTAAAAACATTATACTTTTCAGAAGACTGCAACCTCAAGACACAAAGGACTCGAGATAATCCATATTGTCTTCCTGAGGTATGTTTAAGTTTCTTTTCTTCGAGGCCATCATACCCAAACTCCCTAAAGATACATTAAATCTGCAAATTACTTTAGTTGATAAAGGGCAGAAACCTGATTTTGAGAAAAAGGAACAGATTGAGAGAGTTCAAAGAATTTTTTAGGAAAAACATCTTAGATGACTCCACTCCCCTAAAAAAATTTTTGGTGGACTCCTGCTTTCACCTGTAAAATGGGCCATTGTCTTTCTGTGGTGAGCCACCTTCCCTAACCAAGATAGAACTTCCTATAGATTCACGAATTCCGCAGACTTCCACCTTCAAAAACATAAATATTCCCAGCTCCAAGCTGTACCGTGTCTCATTTCTCTGAACACCCATACTCCATTCTTCAGTCCTCTTTCTGACCAGTCCCTAAAACTCTGTTTCAGCGATGGGAGTCAGCAAAACTGCCACTTATTACATGGGTAGGGTGGGTTTAGGTTTTCTAGATCTGCTTTGGGATCTCCTGGACACTTTTTTTGATTGCTTTGTTTTTCTGAGACAGCATCTCACTGTATAGTAGAGCCTGGGTTACATAATGAGTCCAAGGCTAGCCTGAACTATATAGTGAGTTGTAAAGTTGTACCAGGTAAAATATCAAAATAAGCCTGTGATAATTGGGAGGTAATTGCTACCTAGAACCCTCTATCCCTCCTGTGCCCCAAGAAGCCCCCAGCTGCTGAAGTCATTCTGGCTTCTCCCCCTAACCTCTACCTTCCTCATAAAGAGGCCACCCCAGAAACTAAAGGGCCAGGCACTGACACAGGGAACCACCAGGACATTGCTGGGACATCACTTGTTTTAATTGGTGATATTTTGAAAAAGGAAAGCTGTAGGGAAAATAGCCCACAGTTATCTCTTTAGCCAGTGGTGGAAGTGGGCTTTACCGTGATGCAGGCTACCCTTTGTACTATACCATGTGTTTTCTTGTTTTGGTTTGTTTCATAAGGTTTAGGGTGAGGAACCATTTATGATTTGCTTTCACTGTTTCTACTTACCATGAAAGTTCTCCAGAAAATATTATTCAATTTGAGTTACTCCAATCAGATTAACCCTTCCAAACAATCAACTATCAAGTCCTGTTGATTCTCACTTTTAAATTGATCTCATATCCCCCTTTTCATCTTATTATCACTGTGACATAGGCCATTGTCTTGTTTTTTTTAGTCTATAGGCTCTCTTTATTTTTCAATGTGACACGTACTTTACATATTATACAGTTCACTATTCAGTGGCTTTTAGTGTATTCACAGAGTTATACAATCATCATCACAATCAAGTCTAGAACATTTTCATCCCTCCCAGAGAGAAACATCCTATTCATGAGCAGTTTCTTGCCATTTCTGTCCACCTCTTCCCCCGAGCCGTGGGCATATGCTCAGCTACTCTTTGTCTCTTCGGCCTTGCTTGCTCTGAATATTCCATATGAGTTGAATCATACAATTTCTGACTAATTTTAAACTCTTTAAGTGCAATTTCCTCAAGTTTTTTGAATATATCTATAGTAGATGCTTTAGTCTTTGTTGAATCTGACGTCATGCCTGTCTCTCAGGTAGCTTCGATGGCTTCCTTTTTGTCTTCCTGTGCATGGGTCACACTTTCCCGTTTCTGTTCATGACTTTTAATTTTTTGTTGACATCTTAGGTAATATATCGTAGTAACTCTGGATACTGCATCCCCTCTCCCTGCTTAGACTTGTGTGTGGCTGTCGTTTCACCATTCAGTGACTTGGCTAGGCTAGTTTGCTATGGCTTCTCAGAGGACACAGCCGAAGCCATCCATGCAAACCACTGGGGAAGGGAATTGTTCATAGGGCTACCTTTAGTGATCTGTTTGCCATCCGCTTCCTCTAGTGTCACCCCCAGCTGTTATGTTATACTAAGTCCTGGCTGGTTGCTCTATTAAAAAAAATTCCTGGATGTATAAATTATTTCATAATTTAATGCAATAAAAATTTTTTAATCTTATTGGTACATTTAAGTCATACAGTATAATAACATTCATCATTGGAAATTTGCACCTTTACGTAATCTCTCTTGGTTCTTATTTTTCCCCCTTCCCCTACCCTCCCTTCAATTATACCTTTTAGTCCTTATTTACACTTTCAGTTTCTCACACCAGAGAAACTATTTGGTATTTACACGTGTGTCCTATTTATTTCACTTAAGACTATCGCCTCAATGTGCATCCATTTAGCTATAAATGTCTCTAATTTCTCAGTTTTTATGCCCGAGTAGTACTCCATTTTATTAAAAAACCACATTTTCTTGATCCAGTCTCCAGTTGATGGGCAATTGGGCTGCTTCCAAGTTTTTCCTATTACAAACTGTGCTGCTATGAACATGGGTGCACATATATCACTGTGGTATGATTCTTTCAATTCTTTGGGGAAGATACCCAGCAGGGGAATAGCTGGGTCAAATGGGATTTCTAGTACTAGTTCTTTGAGGTAGCTGCGTACTGATTTCCACAGTGGTTGCACCAGTCTACACTTCCACCAGCAGTGGAGCAGGGTTCCTCTCTCCCCACAGCCCCGCCAGCCTTTCTTATTGGTTGATTTCATGATAGCAGCCATTAAAATTTGAGGTTTAGATGGCATATGGGTTAGCTTCTTGCTCTTAATTAAGGAAAGCTGTTATTTTTGAGAGTGACTCGCTAGGCTTGAATAACCCCCTACTGTTCCAAATAAAGTCAGTTCCTTTGGGGAGAGTTGGGGTTCTCCCTTTCTTTCTATGGACCGCCTCTTTCCTGAGGCAGAGTCTCTTTGCCACTACTCAAGGGACTGGATGGAGCGGTGGACTCTGGTCTTTGGACTTGCTTCTCCCTGGGTGGATTCTCTGCCACATGAGCAAGGTGGGGTAAGGGTGATAGGAGGCCCTGATATT